TCACTATTTCATACCTTGTAAGAAAATAAATAGCAATTTAAATCTATAATTTTGCAAATGTATTAAAATAATAAATATATTCAGAAGAAACTGAGAATATTAATTTTGGGAAATATTTCTAATTTGGGGTGCAGATAGAAGATGTCTAAAAAACATATAAATAGTGATATTGTTTGGCTGTGTGTCCCCACCCAGATCTTGTGTGGAGTCATAATTCCCAGTGTTGGAGGAGGGGCCTGGTGGGAGGTGATTGAGTCATGGTGAGGGGGGGATATTCCCTTTGCTGTTCTGGTGATACAGTTCTCACGATATCTGGTTGTTTGAAAGTGTGTAGCACCTCTCCCTTCTCTCTCTCTTTTTCCTGTTCCCTCCATGTGCCTCCTTCCTCTTCACCTTCCGCCATGATTGTAAGTTTCCTGAGGCCGCCCTGGAAGCAGAAGCCTATACAACCTACAGAACAGAAAGCCCATTAAACCTCCTTTCTTTGAAATTACCCAGTCTCAGGGAGATCTTTAAAGTAGTGTAAGAATAAAATAATACAAATATAAACAGCAAACACATAAAATATTGACTCTTAAAGCCAGGACCAAACCTGGGACAAGGAAACTAGTGTGGAACCAATCTCCATTCCAGGAGAAAAGAAATACCAAGAAAGCTTTGCCAGTCATAGTCAAACTAAAAATTAAGCCAAAACACGATAGCATTCAAGTATCGAGAGCTAACTGATACATCAGGCTCTGACAATTATGCTGCCTTTGTACCCATTAGAAGAAAGTATGTTTGGCAGAAACCAGTGTTATTATGGACCAGAAATCTTCACAAAAAAGTGCTGAGACTTATTTCTGGAGGTGTCTGAGTGACTGACCTTCTCTGCAGCTTCAGCACTGGGGAAGAGGGAGGGGCCTCACGGCAAGAGGTAGTATGAAATACCAATAGCTTTAATAATAAAATAATAACAAATATTTAACTTATTATTAGAAAAAATACACAATTATTGTATAATTAGATTCATTATTACTATTTAACCTAAATTTTTCTGTGTTAAATAGTAAAAGGAAAGGAGCTTATAAATGCCATATTGTGATCATCATTGGTTTCCAATTTTCTTTTCTTCTTTTTACTGAAAACAGTCCAGTCTCAAAGTAAGGGAGGACGACAGAGACAAGAGTGCAGTCATGAACAGAATCTTCGTATAAACCGCGGGCTGACGCGATCTCGTTACTGCCTAGGCATTTGGAGGATGTGTTTGGCGTGTGGAGGGAAGGACTCTAATCCTATTAACACTGAGGAGCTGAGATGCTCAGGTTCAGTTAGAACTTGGCCACAGGATCTTGTGGAAATACAGGGGGCCGGGTCAAGTGTTGCCAACCATTCCCCAGGCACAGGTCTTCCAACGCTCTCTGATTTCTAAAGTTATACTCGGTCCAACTTCATAGTGAGGTCTACATTTTATATGATTCATTTCATATTTCTTCTGTCAAAATATCCTTTTCTTGTGTTTTAACCATGTGACTTTCTCACATTGTCGGGGTACTGTCAGCGCCAGGAGAGAGTGCAGTGCCTCACTACTTCCGGTCTATAAATCATCTTATTGCAGAGGGGCCAAGAACAGGGCTAGGAAGGAGTGAGTGTATGAGGCCTGAGCGCTCTGGCCCTGTGGTGGGTCAGCAGACCTGCTTGACCTTCCTGGGGCTTGGCTTTCTCAGTTGCAATCTGCAAAGAAGGACTAGAGCCACTCATAGGCCTCCAAGCTGGAAAGTTATTTGACATTATTGTGTTGGTGTTTTAATGACATTGTGTCCTTATAATTTGTATAACGTAATAAAGAACGACTCTAATCTTTCAGAAAAGAATATGAACTACAACAATTTTTCATACAATCATTGTAATTTTTGCCACCAAAGAAAAGTGTTGATGCACAATACAACGCTAACTTCTTTGAAACCTGACTAGTTTCAGCTGTGTGTGAGATGAGGAAGGAACAAAATTACAGACTAAACAGAATCTTCATAGGGCACAAACACATCCAATGCTTCTCTGTTTCAGTTGTGTGGATGGTGGTTTTACATACAAGGTAATGTGCCCACTTGCATTGCTTTAGTTAAGTTTATGCAATTTAGAAAAGGGTTATGACAAAATTTCATCCTTATAATCTAAAATGCCGTTTGTTTCCACATGAGAAAGGCCCCTGGCTCCTTTCATGTTGAAAGGGCACTGAGCATGGGAGAGCAGGCAGCCGCTAGGAGATACTCTCTCACCGATCCTTTGCGAAGCACTTCGTTTTTATTTTTAATTATTTTTTATTTTCTATTGGAACATCGACTTGATATTCAAAATGACCTCCTAAGTAATGAGAACCTCTGTCTGAAAGGAAACAAGTGCTAACTGTGAATGATCTAAATAATTTACAGCAAAATTTTTCTGTGAAGGGCCAGATGGTAAATAGTTTAGGCTTTGCAGGGCACACAGTCTCTGTTGCAGTGACTCAACTCTGCCATCGTGAAAGCATTCACAGACGATCTGCAAACAAATAAAACTTTATTTACAAAATGAGTCAGCTGGCCAGATTTGATCTTGGGCAGTAGTGAGTTTTCTGACCCTGGATCTAAACAAATGATGACAAAATTGCTTTCCTAAACTTTGACCTCAAAGTTAAGAGTGCTGCGTTCTTGAAGGGTTGCAAAGTGAAGGATTTTGAGGCTGGCGATTTGTTTTGACCCTTCCAAAATTTGTTCTCAGGGTTACTTTGCTGGGACACCTTTAAACGGAAGGAACTCCATATACATATTGAGATTTCCAGTTTACCTCTAAAAATTAGGCTGGTCTGGGCCCCAGCACTGTATGGCAGCACCCCATGCACTGGCCAGTCAGTGCCAAGAGTCCCTTTTAAGGCAGACATGTTTGCTCCAGTTTGCCTGGGCCCCTCCCCTCCCTCTCCATCCCTCTCTGAGACTGACAGGCAGCTGCGAGTTACTGCCACCATGTTCGATGGCCAGTCTTAAACTCGGTCCACTCGTGTGTTGTTCATCTCGGCTGCCAATCTGGCCTTTATAGCCTGGACTCGACCACCCCTCTGTGTTACCTGGAGACATACATACTGCAGGATGAGTGCTGAATTCCATGCACAGCTAGAGGAACTAGGAAACACTAGTCATTTTAAAGAATGTTGTTTCTTTCTTCACAATGAAAAGAGACTCATTAAGCACTGTTCTGGTCTTACTCTTTCTAAGCACTCCCCAAGAGTGAATCCTTTTACATCAGCCGTTCTTCTTTTTTTCCATTCGTTTGAACTTATAGAAGAGGGCCCCTGGTTATCTCCACGTGAGAGACTCGAAAAACTCTCACTCCCTTTCATGTTACACTGGACACAATTAGAAGTACGTAGAGATCCCCATTTATCAAGTATGCAGTGTACTCAGGACAAGGGAAATTCTGCTGGTAGGAGATTGTGGAGACTTCCATGCACTGCCCAACCCCCCTTTCAGGCAAGTATAAGCTCCCTGAGGTGTGAGCTGAGGCAGACATTTGTTAGGCACTGGCAGAGGGGAAGGGTGGCGGGTGTTTTAAGGTCCATCCAATGCCAGTCTTTATGTACAAATATTTGCACTTTGAAGAATGGTTTCAAATAAATGAATAAGAGAGGGAGTGTGTGTTGCTATGGAATGGGGATGCCCATACACAGCCAGGGGGTCTGCGGCTTCAGGACAGCCCTAGCAGGGCGCCTGCTGAGAGCTCTCCCTGGGTACCCACAGATTCGTGACAGGCTGGGCAAAGAAAGAGCCCAAGACACCATTTCCCTCATTCATTCCCCTCTGCAAAGTGTGCAAAAGAGGCAATGTCAAGCTAAGCTGGCTATGAAGGACACTGGAACCAAAGAGCGGCTGAAGGCCCAGGACCTACAGAAGGTGAGTGGTGGGAGAGCAGCCAGGGACAGGGAGGGCCACACGCACACACATGTGCAAACATGCACTCCCACGCGCGCAGTCCTACGGGCTCACAGCATGTACTCGCACACACTCAGTCAGGTGTGGATGCACACCCGCGCACACCCAGGCACATGTACACCCGCGCGCTCACACACCCCATCCAGCTACGCAGAACTCTGGCCAGGCTGATGACCGCACACCTGCTGCCTCCTTGGCCACCTTGTGCACACAGTAGCCCGATCCACCCCTGTGGCGGCCGAGACCCAGGCCCATCCGCAGCCCTAAGACTTCCCTAGGGATTTCACCCAGCAGCCGGTCACCGGCACCCGCGGCCCGGCCAGTCAAGGGCGGCCGTGACGCCGGGGCCAGGAGCACCGCCACATCCCGGGGCAGATGGGGTGGGGGAAGAGCTTCCTCCTCGGCCTCCAGGTCTCCGATCACGCCGCAAACTCCAGAGCGAAGCACGCGCCTTTAGAAGCGGGTCCGCGGCTCTCCCATGTCCGGGCGCCCGGTTTTCCGCACCCAGTGTCCCCACAGCAGTGCCCGGGTACAGAGGCGCGGCCCTGCCGGACTCCGCGGGCTACAGGTGTCCCAGCCTCTGGCCGCGCCGGTGCGGCCCCCGGCGTGGGAGCCCGCGGAGCGACTGCAGCAGCTGGTGTCCCGCCGAGTCCCCAGCCCCAAGGCAGGGCAGGAGAGCGCACCGGCCGGAGGTCCATGCTGAGCATCGCCGGCGCCGGTGCCCAGCAGCCTCTCCAACCGCGTGGTCCCCACGCGGGCAGCGAGGCACGGACTGCGGGCCGTGAGCAGCTCCATCCTCCCACGTCCTTCTCCCCTGGCGCTGCCCGCAGTCTCCCGCCTTCCCTCTGCTCCCCTCTCGCCTCCGCCTCCGCGCCCCGCTGCCCTCGCCTCCTCCCCTCCGCTCTTTGTCCCTGCCCTCTCTCCTCCTCGGTCCTCTGACCCCCTCTGCCCTCGCCTCCTCCCCTCCTCTCTCCCCTGCCCGCCCCCCGCTCTCCCACGGCTCCCGCCGCCCCCGCCGCCGCGGCTGCCACTCCGCCCCCCGCGCCGCGCGGATCCCAGTAATAACCCCGGCGCGGCGGCGGAGTCGCTGTGGGGAATCCTCCCGCGCTCTGCCTGGGTCGGGTGCTCCCTGCCCGCTCGCACGCTGCCGGCCGGGGACCCTCCGGTGGCCCCTAGCCCCTCGGAGCGCTCCTGGATGAAGCCCCGCGCGCGCGGATGGCGGGGCTGCGCGGCGCTGTGGCTGCTGCTGGCGCAGGTGGCCGAACAGGTGAGTCCCGGGCGCTCCCGGCAGCGCGCGGAAACCGCGGGTCCTGACAGCTGGAGGCGAGTCCCCCGCGGCTCCTCTCCCGCGGCCCCCGCCGTCTCACTGCGGTGTCGCCGCTGTTTTCCGCAGGCACCTGCGTGCGCCATGGGACCCGCAGCGGCAGCGCCTGGGAGCCCCAGCGTCCCGCGTCCTCCTCCACCCGCGGAGCGGCCAGGCTGGATGGAAAAGGGTGGTAAGTCAGTGAGGTGGGGGCTTCTAATCCTTGCCATTTAGCAGCTCGTAATCCCCGTGCCGCTGGTTTATTAGGTGCTGTGAATGTTCATGACTCTGTGGACCCCTACTTTTAAGATGCTATTGTGCACTTTTTTTTTTTTTTAACTGTATGAGCGAGCACCGATGAGTGGACTTCCACCAATATTTATATGTCATTCCCTGGCCAAACGGTTTGCCAGAGTTATTGGTATAACATTAGGGAAAAGGTGAGGAAGTTCATTTTATTTTATTCTAAATTGCTTAGGAAGAATCTAAAGCTATCTGTATGCATCAAAGCCGTCATAAAGAGCAAATTACTCCCTTTTCCATCCCCTCCTACATCCTCGGATCCTCCTTCCCCTCCCCAATCCCTCTTTCTCCTCCTTTATAAATTAAAGTATTTCTCTACGGTTGCTTATTCTCAGTGAAGGAGGTAAAACAAGTGCTTAGCATCTCAGCACTAAATTTAATGCTCCAACAATCAGGGCGTACTTCAAACATAATAGTGCCCGAAATGGCTTATCGGCTTATTGTGACACCATCAGCAACGTTCACGTCCTGGGCCACAGTGTGACATGGGGACAAGTCTTATTCTTTTTCAATGCATGCTTTTACTTCTGCCACTTACAAGTGACATTTGCAAATGTGCTGTCTTATGGGAAGGGATCTCCGTGTCTTCATTCTGCATCAGGTAGATGAGAAAGCAGGTGTGTCACACTGGTTGCTAGGTGGTTTTTTTAACTTGAACCCATCTAATGACAGTTAATAAATATTATTTGGCATTGTTACCAACAATAAATTGCCATATCAAATATTAATATTAATTGACTTTTATAGGAAGAACTAGATTTGATTCTCTCAATATATTCCCAGATCTAGAAAATTAAAGAGTTAATAATTCAGAATTTCTCAGTATAGTTACTTCAATTTGATTAAATAACATAAAGGCAAGAATTTAGTATATGCATTAACTTTTCAAATTCTTCCCTACCGAATGATTATACAAATAGTACATAAGGTGACCAATATCAGATTGACGCTCACCATACGACTTTTTTGAGAACCACCAGGGGGCGCTAGGTGCAAATGACATAAAATGTTAAAAAAGTTGTCATGGTGAATTTACAAGAGAAAGTTAATTATCTGTCCATTTACAGACTATCTTCTTTTGGTTGTCCTTGTCCCTTTTAGCGTTTTGCTTACAATACTAAAAGTTAATTCTTACAATTTTAAAAGTTAATTCTAATTCACCTTTTTAAGATTTTTGTAAAAAAAAAAAAAAAAAATTCTAGTTCCCTAAAATCATGAAAATTCCGGAGGGACTCAGGAGATTTCCACAATACTTTAGTTTATGGCATTTATGAAGTTTTATTTAAGATAAAGCACATTATAGACACAGAAGAAAGAAGAATAAAAGCCAGGGCTTCCTGCCTAATTGTGCTTTTCCCTTGAAGCGATTCAATCCGCTTCAGCATCCTCTCTGGGAGTGGTGTGTCAGCGTGCTGCTCTGAACACCTGGCACCTCGGCTATTGTCACATCTCCATGACAACGACTTACCTGGCTTGGTGAGAACCTGAAGGGAAAGAACCGAACCCTTCTTAGTGAAGTTCTAGCCCAGTGGACACAGCACACCCTCCTCCCCTATCGTCTATGCACTTTAGCTCCTTAATTATGAAAGGCTAACGTGTGAGTCTGGACATCCACAACAAGCTTCTATGCCACCAGAGAAAAGACCCTGCTCAACAGTGTTGCCTGTTTCCCTCTGACCTGGAGCAGAAGAGCTAGAAGATCCTTGGTGACTGCTGGGGTCAGCTTACTGTCACCTGTCTAGGTATCCATTAGACAAGTTGGTTCTGAAATAACTAATTGTAGCCATACATTTTGTTTAAAGAGGCACATGACTCAAACTGTTACTGCAAATTGTTCTTGGTGGCTGAAGTAATTACAAAATAGCAAAGAGAACAAAGCTGGATGGGTCACACTACCTGACTTCAAACTATGCTACAAGGCTACAGTAACCAAAACGGCATGGTACTGGTACCAAAACAGATATATAGATCAATAGAACAGAACAGAGACCTCAGAAATAACACCACACATCTACAACCACCTGATCTTTGACACATCTGACAAAAACAGGCAATGGGGAAAGGATTCCCTACTTAATAAATGGTGCTGCGAAAACTGGCTAGCCATATGAAGAAAACCGAAACTGGACCCTTCCTTACATCTTACACAGAAACTAACTCAAGATGGATTAAAGATTTAAATGTGAGACCTAAAACCAAGAGCAATTGCAACAAAAGCCACAACTGACAAATAAGATCTAATTAAACTAAAGAGCTTCTGCACAGCAAAAGAAACTGTCATCAGATTGAACAGGCAACCTACAGAACAAGAGAAAATGTTTGTAATCTATCCATCTGACAATGGGCTAATATCCAGAATCTACAAGAAACTTAAACAAATTTAGAAGAAAAACACAACCCCATCAAAAAATGGGTGAAATATATAAACAGATAATTTTCAAAAGAAGACATTTATGCAGCCAACAAACATAAGAAAAAAAGCTCATCATCACGGGTCATTAGAGAAATGCAAATCAAAATAACAATGAGCTACCATCTCACACCATTTAGAATGGCCATCTTTAAAAAGTCAGGAAACAACAGATGCTGGAGAGGATGTGGAGAAATAGGAACACTTTTACACAGTTGGTGGGAGTGTAAATTAATTCAACCATTGTAGAAGACAGTGTGCTGATTCCTCAAGGAACTAGAATGAGAATTACCATTTGACCCAGCAATCCCATTACTGGGTATATACCCAGAGAATTATAAATCATTCTACTGTAAAGACACATTCACACGTATGTTTACTGCAGCACTGTTCACAATAGCAAAGACTTGGAACCAACCCAAATACCCACCAATGATAGACTGAATAAAGAAAATGTGGCACATATACACCATGGAATTCCATGTAGCCGTAAAAAAGAATGAGTTCTTGTCCTTTGCAGGGACATGGATGAAGCTGGAAACCATCATTCTCAGCAAACTAACACAGGAACAAAAAACCAAACACCACATGTTCTCACTAAGTGGGAGTTGAACATTGAGAACATGTAGGCACAGGGAAAGGAACATCACCCACTGGGGCCTGTTGGGGGGTGAGGGGCAAGAGGAGGGATAGCATTAGGAGAAATACCTAATGTAGATGACGGGTTGATGGGTGCAGCAAACCGCCATGGTACGTGTATACCTATGTAACAAATCTGCACGTTCTGCACATGTATCCCAGAACTTAAAGTATAATAAACAAAATCAGTGGTCACACGCTCACTAGTGAACATAATAACAGTGCAGAGAATATAAAATAAAATTGCGCTAGTTTCTCTTCCTACCACCCTCTACCTTATTATTTACCTTCTGCATTTTGTCCAGATGATCTACAAGAATTTACTTATCACCCTGTGTTCCTTACAGGCTACATTGTTTTTTTCTTTTAAAAGGTCACTTTGGCTTCAGAGCTTACAATGTACTTTGAAAGCTCATTATATTATGAACTTTGCCTCATGTGGTGAAATAATCTTTTAGATTTCATTCTTTTAGAGTATATTTTTTACGAGTTTTAAGGTATTCCTTTCTATGACTTTACTGTAATGTAGTTACCAATTATCTGTTGTTTATTCTTGTTTAAAATTTTGCCTCATTACAAATAATGCTTCCATGAAAATATTTACATAAACCTTTTAAAATTCATCTGAGATTATTTCCTCAGGGTGATTTCCTAGGTCGAAGGCTTTTGCAACTCATTGCCAAAGCAGACTTTAGGAAGGTAGTGTCGTTTTTCTTTCCTGACATCAGCAGTGTTTGAAAGAGGTGGCTGGTGGTGGACTGATTTTTTGTTAATGCGATTGATTTCTATTTAGAAGGCAATATATCTCCTGCCACCTGCCCCACCCTTCTCTCTGTTTTCTGGATTCTCCTTTCCTGCTATCCTCTTAGGGTGCTCATGAACATTCCTTTGCTCTTGGACAGTTACAGGCTCAGTCTTTGAGTCTGGAGCAAGTTGCAGTCAGGTGCCATCTAAGCAGCCAACTGTGGAAAGAGTGGGAAGTGTGGAGCCTATGGGAGATGGTCCTGTCGGGTGGGCAAGGTGTGGAGCTCTGGCCGTCTCCCACAGCCTTTTGGAATTGAGCTCTCCCAAGACAGTCGGGACCTCACGGGAGCCTTGCAGGACTTCTTGGAGTTCAGTTTGCCTGAACGTTGAGGTTATGAACCTACCACTTGTATATATGAGTTTTTAGATAGGACAAACTTTTCTTCTTGCAAGATTATTGTGTTTGAAGTCTTTCGAATATGTCTTTCCCATCTGTGGAAAAAATACTGTATTAATAAAGACACCAATCCCTGTGAAAATAATTAAAATACATAAATTTACAGTGAAATTAATTATATTAAAAACATTGCAATGCTCAAAGCTCATCATTTCATAATTATTTCACTATATTTGATAATAATCTAGGCTCTTGAGACCACTGGCCTCTTTTGCATCTGTATGGCAGAAATCCTACACAGTGGGGGCTGCTGCGTATCTCTGCACACTGCATATTCAGTGATGGCACAGCAGTCATTGAAATCAGCCATGGGGGGAAGATTTACACCAGGGAAATTGGCAAATGCCAAAATCCAGGTCATTCTTCTCCAGACAGCAGGTTGTTGAATGCTTATTAGCACAGCATTGTGTTTATGTAAAAGTGGCTTATCAGTAGTTATTTTGCATGGTAAATATTATATGAGCCCCCAATAAAGGACAAGTATTGTCTCTCTCCAAAATAAAGGTCGTAAGAATATGGCTTATTTCATCTGAGAATAATTTGATTTTTTAAAGAGTAATCACCTTTTTATACACGATAAAATGTGCTGACCTCCCACTGTCTGGAACAAGCCATCCTGCCTTCTGTCATCCTTCCCCTGCTTCAGCTACAGTGGTAGGAGCTGGTGGGAGGTGAGGAGCATGCCCCTGAGTGGCTGGGACGGCAGATGACAGCTGTTAACATCGCTGCATCACGCTGGCCTTTCCCCTCTGTTCAGAGACTCAGGCATAAGAGAGGCAGAATTCTCACTGCTGGGAGAGTGGGCTGGGGAAATGCAAAGCAAACAGGTGTGCACGTTTCACTTCTGTGTTTGTGAGGGGCTCAAATCCAGACTGGAATCTACATACCTGTGCCAGACATGCCGCTTCCTGCTGTGCTCTCCCTTTTCTATCATTGGATACAATGTCACCAGATTCTTTGACTTCCTCATTTTCCTAATTAAATTTTAAATAATTCCAGTGTCTTTTACCTATGAGACCACAAGTTACTGACTTTGCTATAAATCTCAATGGTTACTTGTCAAGTTGTCTGCCGGAACATGCTGTGCCCCTCAGCCAGCTACCCTCAGAGTACCTGTCCATAGCTGTGTGCACTCTTGCCATCCATCCTGGCCTCCTTCACTTCTCTCAAGCCCAAACGCCGGCCTTTCAGACTTCCCACTAGCTGCTACCAGTCTCTCTTTCTCTGTAACCACCCAATTTCCTGCCAGGATGGGACAGAATTGGGTGGACAAGTATCTGCATTGAAAGAGTTTTAGTTATAAGGAAAACTTTCTTTTTCCAGAAAAATATGATTAACCAAGTACTGTTCACTTCTAACCAAATGCCCCTTGTGCAGGATGCTATTTTATATTATCCTATTATTCCAAAAAACCTGTCCAACTCAGGCCAAAGCATAGAAGGGCCCTGATTATGAAGCACCTGACAGAAGAGTCTCCTAACAGCACATGTGGGTGATAAAGGGGAAGAAACGGAACATTAGAACAAGGGTCTTAAACTAGTAAGAGGAAGCTGCACTTTTGAGTCTCTGAGGACTGACCTCCTCATCATTGCGCTAGAGAGAGATCAGCTCTGGTGCCTGACTCTGACCCTTTTCAAAGACATCTCAACATAAGTTTGGAGAAAGGGTTGACATCATGCTGAGCTGTTATTTTCTCGTGATTAGAAAAATGCAGGCCAGGGCGCAGGCCCTCTCCTAACATGTGGAGACCCAGTGCTCACTTACAGTTGGAGGCACACATACCAATGCGTAAGTATTTAATAGGTGTAAAACAAGCTAACAAATCATTAACAAAAAAGTATTTTCTTAAAGTTACCTTTACATAACCTAAAAGCCCAGGTCTAAGTTGAGAAGGTGGCACGCAGCAACATCTGGCCGGGGCAGGCACTACTCCTTCTCCTCCCATCCAAGTTCTGGCCTGTCTAGGACAGAAACACCCTCCCCCTGAACTGTGGAGAGCAGAGATGATATTGTTATGGTGGTAATGAGAGAACAAATCCTACTTGTAACCACGAAAACTCAATGACCATTTTCGAGAAGGAGAGAAACCTCCTTGGAGAAGACAACTACGATATTTACAGAAAAGCAGCCGAGGACCACTGCCCAGGATGCTGGTGGAGCTTCAGGGTGTCCCTCTGTTTTCTGCTGAGAAGGTGGTGACCCAGTGAACACCGAATGCTTTCCTGGAAAGATCGCCTCTGACTACAGCCCTGCAGACCTACATGGGTCCCCTGAAATTTGATAGCTCCTTGGGGTTTTCTTTACTTTTTTAAAAGAAATAACTTCCTTGAATATGATTGAGACCAGCATACGCTACCTTTCAGTGGGAAGATGAACGTGGTGCATGTCTTCAGAAGGGCTCGATGTGAAACCTGATCAAGTCCCAAGAACCCAGGCCAATGGCAGGGTCACCAACGGTTTTTATCAGAAACAAATGCACACGTGACCATTTCCAAATGTCAACATTTGGCAGACCTGGACCGTGTGTGCATCCTGCCTTTTCTCCTCTGTGTTCCATGATATCATGAATAAACATTTTAGACAATTAGCAGAAAAGTGTGCCTATCATATTTTTATTTTTAACTGCATTTTGAAAAATTCTGGGTGTTTTCAAGGTAAAATTTCTTATCAGCTCAGTGAGAAACAGAAATAACGTGACTGAAGGTATGTTTGAAAACTATAAAATGATTGTATTTGATAGTTATTAGTACAATTTATGAAATGCAGTCCTAAAAGTTCGGTTTTGGTTTTATTTGATCAATAATTTATTTTCCATTTTAAGTGTCGTAGGATTTCCTGGCTTGGGAATAGCACATTATGGGGACTTTGTTACCATTTTTTTCTTGAAACTGTGATGTTCCGTATTCCACACTTTGAATTCAGTATGGGTAGGTGTTGCATTTTTCTTCGTCATTTTTGACTGGGTGGAAAGATCATGTGGTAAAATAATATTCTATCTTAAGACTTCCTGATTCTTCTCGGAATCCTGAAATGACTCAGCCTCTCCTCACTCTTTTGATTCCAGAATATGACCTGGTCTCTGCCTATGAGGTTGACCACAGGGGCGATTACGTGTCCCACGAAATCATGCACCATCAACGGCGGCGAAGAGCAGTGACCATGTCAGGGGTTGAGTCTCTTCACCTTCGGCTGAAAGGCTCCAGGCATGACTTCCACATGGATTTGAGGACTTCCAGCAGCCTGGTGGCTCCCGGCTTTATTGTGCAGACGTTGGGAAAGACAGGCACTAAGTCTGTGCAGACTTTACCGCCGGAGGACTTCTGTTTCTATCAAGGCTCTTTGCGATCCCACAGAAACTCGTCAGTGGCCCTTTCAACCTGCCAAGGCTTGGTGAGTACAGCGCGAGTCCCAGCTAGGGAGGCGAGGTTGGTGATGGTGGAAAGGAGAGTGTAACCAGGACTTTCCCTCGAGTTCACATAGATGCTCTTCTTGTACTGCAGCACAGATTAAGCAGGAGGAATATTGCCAAGTAAAACTTTCCAAAAAACATTGTGTGCCTCCTCTGGCCTATTTGGAAACAGTGCGCACACCCACCCTGCTGCTGCTGTTCTAGAATTATTGTGGAAGAGCACTTCAGTTTGAAAATTGTGTATAAGAACCTCTGGCCAAATCTGAATTCTTTAGCTTCTTAGGGGATGTTTTTACTCCAACTTACAGCTTCTAACTGACAGAAACTGGAGAAATGTCTTCATTTGGAATAGAACAACAGTATTCAAGAGATTGGCCGTGAGCATTATTTGATCAGATATTTGAAAGACTTTGAATACTGTACATCTATCATTCTGATGATGATAATCTGCTTACACATTAGGGCATTCATCCATGGCAGAGCGTTGTTGGTCTTCCTGGACTGATGAATCCAGGGTGCATTCCCCGTGTCCTGCATATCGGGTTTGGAATGGCACATCACTTCGATGCTTCTGGTGCTGCGATTTACAGGGACCCTAGAGAGGGGGGCATCTGGCTGAGCTAAGAATCTACCTGCATCACTCAGGCCTACCCAAGTCAAAATCTCAATGGCTTGCTTTTCACTTTTCTTAAAATATTTTCATATATTTAGGGAGAAAAATCTTAGGAGATTCTTAAATTCTTGGCAACAAATGAATTGCTCAGGTGCAGAGGAGCGAAGTGTGACTTACACAGCAGAGTGAAAATGTGTTCAAGGTTCAAGGTCTTGAGGATGTTAAAGGTTTGGCTAACAGGTCTGGGACATTTATTGCTTTTCTAGAAAAAGCTTTCAGTGTGCTTAAATTTCCTTCCCTCTTTGAGGAGAGGGAATTCAGACCCCACATCTCATAAAGATTTTGTGTGTGTGAATTTTGGATGCTGAATTCATAACCAATTCCTTAAAATACTAAATATATGTAAATGCTAAACCTGTAAAAAAATTTTTTTAAATGTTAACATTCTGCTTTTTAGGGAAATTTGATATGAGTTGATCTCATTGTTATTTCACTCATAAGAAACTTTTGGGTTGAGTTGCTAGGGATAGGGTGGTGGTTATTTGGCGCTCTTGTTAAGCATGAAGACAATGGGGCTGATTTCTTTCACACTCTCCCAAGAAAAATAAGTCTTCCTTAACGGACTAGAACTCTTCATGAAATGCACAAAATGAAGATACATCTTCCTTGGTTTTCTTTCACAAGGGCTTAAGCCAGAAATGGAAGCCATCTGTGTGGCAACGAGGTGTGCCGTGCCCTTTACCCTTGGGTAATTTTGGATTTGGTTGTGGAAATTGGTGAGGTACTTCTTGCTAACCCAGCAGGGATGCAAGCTTCCCGAGGCCCCTGGATCTCCCTGAGCCAGGGTGGCTGAGCTGTGCCCTGGAGTCTGTTCCCTGAATCGAGGTGCTTTGCAATAGCTTGAGATTTCTGGCGCTTTTTGAGCTTCATCAGAGTTAACAGGAAAAGTTAACAGTAAAGTAAGTGTATAATTATAATGAAAGAAAAGAAATTATAAATAACAGAAAAAAATGCTTCTTTGGATAATAAACAGTGGTATCTGATACTGTAGCTGCTGGAAGAGAAATTTATATGTCTTCTCCATTAATCTTCCAAATACCTGTAGTCCAGCTTTACTGATATTTTGTCCATAGATGGTCACTACAAATGTGACCTCAACCAGACTTAAGAGTGTGAGCTTGAGGATTTTCGTCATAAGACAGGATAAATCAAAGGCATTGGAAAGAGCCCTGTTCTTATTTAGGTATCTTTGCAGAGCCCAGAGGTGATCACTTTGAAAAGATCTCTTCTAGCAGGAAATGCTCTATATTCCGTTCTATCTATTTAATTTGTAGGATAAGAACATTACTTTCGGGTTTAAAAATATATTGCTTAATTCTCACATAATATCTTGTGTCATTTAATTAGAGAAAATGGTTTACCGTTGTAAGACAATGCAATTTCCAAACTGATATATAGTTTTTCACCCTGATTCTCAGACTCTGCATTTGGAAGGATTTTGCTGTTGTCCACTAATGATTGGTTTGAGGAATAGCATGAAAGTGAATCATTGAGGTGTTATCCTATCTATAGTAAATAAATATTCACAAAGAAGAAAGGAAAAACTAAACAAACATAGTACCCTAAATCTCATGTTCACAATGACAATTTGAGTACAGAATGACCTTGAGAATTGCGTATGGCTGCAGCCCAGCAGACCTGGGCCTCAGGAGTTTATTGTCTAACGAGAGAGGCAGGACACAGGCAAGTCCCCTACAGGGGGAGGAAACAGGGACAGACATGGGAGCCAGAAGAACCCAGAGGAGGATGCCTCTGCATGCCTTGCTGGTAGGTGGAGAGTGTCAGGATAGGATTTTGGAAACTATCCAGAAACCAAGTCCATAGTAAAGTTAGAATGTGATGCCCATAAATGAAGGAGTAACAAGCAGTCCTGGAGAAGACTGCTGGCATCTGCCAAGCTCACATCCTGTTAACACCACCTATAAATGTTAAGACCTTAATATTTGCATATTAAACCCAAGTATAATATATTCAATGAGATCTGTAAATCCTAAAATTATTTCTAGAGTTTACCCTGGTATTGCCACTGAATATCTTGACTTAAAATATTTCTTATTTAGTTAAATAAGGGTAATTTTTGGAAAAAGGATCCCTGTTATATTTATGTCTCTACCAAATTGTTGTTATAGATCTGTTTGTGGTTACCAACCACAAGCACATAAATGTGTGTCACTCAGTAGATACTTTCTAGTACTTGGTTAAATAATGGATAGACTTAGAGCGCTAGTTATAAGTAAGAGACAATGATGACCATGGCAATAGCACAAAGAACAATAATGACTTATTGAATGTTATACTTTGCTAATAGCTTTATAATGGTTATCTCACTTAGCTTGGAGATAAGTTGAAGAAATAGGTACTATTTTAAAAACAGCTTTATTGAGATGTAACTCACTCCTTAAAGAGTTAATTAGCTCTATTCATTTAATAGAGTTTCACCCTTTAAATTGTATAATTCGGTAGTGTTTAGTATATTCACAGAAATGTGCAAATATCACTAGAGTCTAATTGGAGACATTTGCATCACCTCAAAAATAAACCTCTTATGGTCAGTTCTCCTTCCCCTAATCTCCCCGTTCCCATCCTAGACAGTATAGGTTTGCCTAATCTGGCCATTGATTATAAATAGAAGCATACACTATGTGACCTTTGTGACTGACTCCTTTCACTTAGCATAACGTGTTCAAGATTCATCCATGTTGCAGCGCGTATCAGTACTTTATCCTTTTTTATTGCTAAAGTATACCACATATTTTATTTATCTATCAGGTGATGGACATTATTGTTTTACTTTTTTTGGCTACTGTGAATAATGCTGCTATGAACATTTGTGTACAGGATTTTGTATGAATGTGTGTTTTCATTTCTCTTGGGTAAATACCTAGGAGTGTAATTTCTGGGACATATGGAAATTCTACACTTAACATTTTGAGGAATTTTCAAACTGTTTTTCATGTTAGTTGAACCATTTTCTATTGCCCCAGTAATGTCTGAAGGTTCCTATTTCTCCACATTCTTGCCAAACCTTATTGTTCTCTGTTTTTAAATAGTCATCCCAGTGAGTATGAAGGAGTATCCATTGTGGTTCTGATTTACTGGGTAGAGATTATTGGCTTTGGAAGAGGGTTCACTGTGCAGAGGTTAGCAACTTGTCTGAGTTTGGTGAGACAGCAACCCCCACACACAAGTTACATGAAGTGGGTTTATTACTTAGAGACAGGTAGAGCAACAAGGGACAGCAGAAGTCTAGGAATAATCACAGGCTGGTACACAAGGCTCAATACAGCTGTCTGAGTGGATGAAGTCTTGTCTCTGCATGCAACATGGCTGAGGCACCCAGGAAAGCAGCCCACCCTGGATTTTATACCTGGACACATGATGCGCTGAACAAGTTCTGCAGTTCAATCATCGCAACAAGTTCTACATTTCAGTCATCACATCATACTACAAGGCAGGGACTGCAACAGAGCCCAGGTTGTTTCTGCCCTTTCCTCCTATCTCATGATGTTGCATTTCCAGCACATTTTGCAGTCATTCTTGAGAATGGGAAGGAAGAAAGTGGGGAGGACTCAGTTGGTCATAGTCATCTGTAGAATTGTTCTGCATTGGTTGATGGTTTTTTGTTGTTTTACTTTCAGCACTTTCAATATGTCATCCTATTGCTTTCTGACGTTCATTGTTTCTGGTGAAAAGTCAACTGTTTATTTCACTGTGGTTTATTATGCATATTGCATTACACATATGTTAGCATGTATACTTTGGTATCCATTATGCATATGTTGATATGTTTAATGATGTCCCACATTTCCCTGAGGCTCCATTCATTTTTCCTTCATTCATTTTTTTTTATGTATTCCTTGTTTATCTTCAAATTCATTGATTTTATCCTGGCAGTTCAAATATATTATTAAGCCCCATCATGAATTCTACATTTTGTTTATTATACTTTTCAATTTCATAATTTTTTATTTATTTTAAAAATGTATCTTCATTCAAATTCTCTGTATGACATTGTTATCATGGCTTCCTTTATTTCTTTTTTCATTTTATTTTATTTTATTTTATTTTTTTGAGATGGAGTCTCGCCCTGTTGCCCATGCTGGAGTGCAATGGCACGATCTCAGCTCACTGAAACCTCAGCCTCTTGGGTTCAGGTGATTCTCCTGCCTCAGCCTCCTGAGTAGCTGGGATTACAGGTGTGCGCCACCATGCCCAGCTAATTTTTTGTATCTCTAGTACAAATGGGGTTTGACCATGTTGGCTAGGCTGGTCTTGAACTCCTGACCTTGTGATCCACCCGCCTCAGCC